GGGTAAAAGATACAGGCTTACACTCCAACAAACTCAAGTATAATAATAGTTTCGAACTGCAGTTGGTTTTTGACAATAAACCCTTACCTGAGAAATATTATGGGAAAAGGATCAGATAAAATGTTTTGCAAATTTTTTCACAAAAAACGGCCACTAGGCAGAATGTACCAGGTTTTCTACGTTCGGATAGTACCTGCTGCTATAATTCATTCAATATACAGCAGCTGATCGAAAGCATTGCTTCTTCATTAGATATTGCCATTCATCTTTAATGCTCCTCAAACCTCAACTCCCGTACTTGAAAGATAACATTAGAGTCTCAGCTTTCATATTGATAAAGGTTCTAGCCTTTAAAGTTGCAAGGTAAGTTTGCAGTCCCGTCAAGGACATATCCTAAGGCACAGAACACAAGAGCCCCCCCACCCTCCAGTTTCAATGCAACATTTTAACAGATACCATTTCACAGGTTTTGGTATCCAAGTGTTTGGCTGTTAATATTTATTAACATTATAAACACCACAGATGAGACCCGATTCTGCTATTACAGCTATCCAGAGGCACTAAAAGATCCTTACCTTTCTCCAGAAGTGACTGCTGAAGCAGGATTTTCCATGATCTTGTAAATTATTTCAGAATTAGGAAAATAATACAGATCTTTTACCTCTTAAACAACTTCAACTTCTTTGATTAGCTGTGTTTCTAGTTATATCATGAAAGTCTGTTCCAAAATGAATTACATCTTTACAAAGTAAATTTATAACTACTGGAAAAGGAGAATGGGGGTTTTATGCTTTTAATATTCATACATATTACCATAATTTAACAACATGTAAATGCTAATTATTAAAGTCTAGTGACATAAAAATTGCACACCATGATCAAGCCTATGAACTGGAGTGTATTCATCAAGATGGTTTCTCTCTCAAAGGTTTACCTTGAAGTTGAGAGTTTACAGGTTTTAAGGATTCTTTTTTTCCAACTTTAAAAAACTGGAAAAGGCATGCTTTGGGCTGCACTTTAGTTTCCTGTTAGCTTTGAATAAGCCTGCCTTTCTTTGACATGGAACAACTTCACTTGAGTTTCCTTGTTTATTTCTTCAAATGCATGACTGTGCCGCTCCCTATTTCTTTTTCATTTGTAGTAGGTGTTTATCCCTGCCAGTGCTTAGGGAGAGCTTCTACTTAACTTCACACATGGTCAGACTAAATGATGAGGATTTATCATAGGCCCAAGGGTTTATTATCGAACTTACTGAATTTTTTTTTTCCCCCACAAGAGTTGGGGCTGTGGAGTAGAAGCATTAGCTTTTGACTGGTATTATAGACAGGCACATTTTCTAGTAGCATAAGATCACTGGAACAACCTTCTTTGTTACTGTAAAACACTTAACAGTACAGAGTAGGGTATACAGTGGGATCCTCTAGAGAAACTATACTTTTATATCATCAGTTGCTGGAAAATCCTACAGGATCCATGAGGAAAAATGAGACTCATGAATCAACAATTTCAAAATTTCCTGAGCATTTTCTTTCTGGTCTCAGATTACCTGTGTATCCTATGATCATTTCTATGACACATATGACAGCACTATTTGCCAGAAATAAGAGGAGAAATTAATTATTCTACCATGACATCTACATTAGCAACAGCACAGGATGTACTCCGCGTGACCAAAACTTGAAACCCATTTAAGTTTAATGAGACCCATTGACATTAATTTAAGTTTTTCCACTACCTGGACCCAAGGGCAATGTGTTGACAAGTATCACAGTGCTTACAAGGAACCGGGCTTGGTATGAGCCAAACCCACTTCTCTCTTCTGGCTGTGTGTGACAGCAGGGCACGATTCCTCCTGCCTCCTGTGGCCCGTGGCACACAGCCTTGTCAACCCACACTATTCTTTCTCTTTCCCGAAAGATTTTAGAGCCACAATTACATTGGAAACAGCTTCTACTGCCAGGCTCTGCTTGTTTTTAAGTTTCTAGCACTCACAACTGCAGAAGGAAACAGTCCCTCAGATTAGACACGGTAGAAACAAAACATCCTGGTTTGTTCTGTCAAAGTTTCAACATTTCTAAGTCACCATGGGTTGGCACCTACTTCATTTGGGCAGCAGTGAGCACCAGCGGCTAGCCTCACATAGGTGCTGGGACTGTTCGGGAGATGGACAGTGATTGCAGCCTCTTTGGATCTGCTCGCTGGATGTCACACCTCTGGCTCCAGACACAGTCCAACCCTTTATCTTACTGCTTAGAAGGAGAAAAAAAATAGTGTCCTGGAACTATGTTCTCCACATCCCAAATGACACAACACTTTTAGTAGTAATTACATTTTATTTCTTAAGAGTAAGTCATGTATATATTTCAGGTAAAGTACCAATGTTTACCATGGCTAGAAGAGTTCGGTGGGTGGGGACCAAAGGATAGAAATTTTTTTTACCCATTTGAACTGATTGCATAGTATAAGTTACAGCTATCCACATTTTAAAGCCCCTCTAAACTGCCTGTGAAACTATCTAATGGATGAACAAAGGCAAATTACTGCTTTCTTCTCATACCTGTAAAAAGGGATTAACAATACAGCAAAATATAAAGGAGGTCTATTAAGATGTCCGGGGAAAATGTGTTATGTAAGTATTGCTTTGAATGTAAATAAGAAAGTAAATGAAAGTGAGGTCTAGAAAAAAAAAAATAAAAAAAAAAAAAAAAAAAAAAGGCATATTAACCCAATGCAAGTGGAAAAAAGTTCTTGTCAAATTAAGACTGAGAAAGTACAGATAACAATTATTGTGACCAGGAACAGCTGGTGTTCCTAATATTATCTGCATGAGTACCACGAGAGATTTGTTGTATTTATTTCCTATCATATGACCTAGTGCAGTTCAGTCTCTGCTCTGCAGCTGTCCCGGGTAGTGTCTAATGTAGGCTGCCTTTGTTTTAGGTATTTGGTACACAGCACAAAGTCAAAACAAGTTTCTGAGCTTTCAGAATAAACCAGCCTGGTGTAACACGGCCGCTGTTTGCCTACAAGCTGCTTAACTGGTTATGCAGGCTTTACAGTAGCACATACAATAAAACTGTAATGTTTAAAGGGTAAATATATTTCATTTTTATAAAATACATATTATTTGCATGTTATACAACAGAAAAAATGGGAAAAGGTCTAATATTTTAAATGCAATTCTTTAAGATACTGACAGAAATATCAGTTTTGCGAGCTTTTGGGCAGCTGCAGTTACATGTTTTTATCAAAGTACAAAGAAAGCAACTGCTTATAACTGGAACACTACAGTAAAGTAAGTTCTGCTTTGAATTTAGGTAAGCAGTAGCCTAGGTAGTTCTGTTTTTTGCTTTTCATCCTAAAGCTCCTACCATGTATCTAGTATGAGACACTCACATGAAAGGCCAAAAAACCATAGTTGCTGTCTGTAGACTTCATAACTCACATTGAAAGGGAGTTTTTAAAGCAGTGACCTGTTTAAATGCTTTTTGAGTCTTGGATTTTAATATTTTTCTATAACACAAAATTGCTGATCAAAGCTAAATTTGCTTTTGACATCTTGCATTACTATTAGTGAAGTTAGGTGACATTAAAATCGAGAGCAGCTGTAACTCGCTTTCATTATTCATCCGGTAAATGCTGACTTCTTAGGTCCATAAGAGAGACCCTTTCAGCAGTAATCAATCGAGAACTTTCCAAAGCAGAATGTTATTGCCATTAAGGCATATTCCAAACAGGAATTTGGGTAATAGCAGAGTCTCTGGGGAGAGACAGTAGAGCTTCTTCATCCAACTGACTGAATTAAAACTGACAGCGTCACCACATTAATACACTTACACCAGAATAAAAGTTTGGTCAGAGTTAAGGTCATGCAACGGTAGTTTGCAATTTCCTCAGCTGAACGGTATCTGTTGCAATGGATCTGCTGATGGAAACGTTAATTCACATAGAAGGTCTTTGTTACTTTCTTCCCTTGCTTTGTCCATGCTGACACCAGTATCCAGAAAAGCTGTAGAAGCTGCCCACAGAAGCCAAGAAATACACTATGATGTAAAGTATTATCACTCCAATCACACATTTTTATTGTCTGCAACATACTTTTCTTTAAATCCATTTCTCAGCTCTGTAACCTGGTCTCACTCGCCTGGTCTTTTCCCTTCTTTCTATCCAGCACTTCTAGTCACTGCATTGCTTCTCTCTCCTCACACGCAGTTTACTGAAGATTAAGTGAAGTTAACAATAGCACCCAAAATTGTAATTGTGGAGCAGATTAGGAACTCAAAAGGGCTCGAAGCCAGGGAGCTATAAAACTTAACAGTCATTTCATGAGCTGAATTATTCAAGCAGAAGTAAGCTTCAAGTCCTGGAGTTTATGCTTCTTCCCCACAACTGTCTTCCACATGTGGTTAATAAATTAACCACGCGGACTGACCGAAGTCAATACTGCATACATCACTGCTTTAGAAGAGTAACAGTGACCAAATCTCTCGAGACAGAATTTGTGGTTTTGTCTGAAAAGGAACAGTGTGGTGTAATGAAAAAATGGTGACAGCTTATTGTGGAACCAGGCGCACAGAGAAGCACTTTTCCAGGCGTGAGGGTACTGGGAGGAAGGCACAGCTTTGGGACTGACGAGTTTCTAACATTGGCATTCTTGCGTGGAGCTTTCAGCATCGGCGCTGCTGTGGAAAGCTTCCAGTATCATGTTCAGGCGTGGAAAATTTTCAATACTGCCTTCCTTGTTGGAGGACAGACAGATGTTAAAGAGTACAACTGTTTGGTTTCTTACGCTGCCCTATGTTGCATGACATCGCATGACATAACTCTCTATGTATATATTTAATTGTACAAAAGCTTTCTTTTTCAGAGAAGAGAATCTAGAAAAAGAGTATCTTCAAAAGAATCAAGAACCTAATTTCTTTCTCAAAACATTTGATTATATCATTTGAAAGGCAGGTCTCATTTTTTCCCATAGCAGTAATTACACTTTCTCACCCTACCTGCTTTTCCACAATCATTTTCTTCATATTCTTAGAGCAGATATGAAAACAGGTGCAATTTTTTCCATGAACTTCTATATTAATGTTAAAAGGAAAAGTAAAAATATGTTAATAATAAACTTACATAAAGCTTTTTTGTTGTTGTTCAGGAACTTACAGAGAATGGATTTGGACGGGTAAAATGAGAAAAATTCTTCTTTCAGCTGTTAAAAATAATTTCTGGTGCCTGTAGCCATCCTGATAACTTTTCAGTGACAAACTCCCAGAGGTCATGACTTGCTGTTTTAGAAGCACTGACATTGAGAAAACTGTTTCCTGAAAACTAGTGGACCACTTCATTGTTCTTTCTACTGTACCAGTGAGGATTCAGAAGTAAAACTGATTTTGATGGAGTTAACCTACATTTTTATATGACTGTAAACAACGCAGAAGGTACCTATGAATTTGTTTGAATGGTGTGATATGGAAAGCTCTAGGTAAGTCTGGTGGACAAAGAATGGTTTTAGACCAGATATACTAATGGCTGTACTATGATTCATTCAGTACACATTAGCCTTGGAAGATTCTGCCATCTGTTACAAAACTACTTTAACAACTAGAAAACACTCTGCAAGAAACTGTCACATACAGGTGGTTTACCACAAGGTCAATGAGTAACCCATCTGGCAGCTTAATTCACCAAACAAAATAGCGCTTTCCAAGTAATATATGAAATAAAGGCATTTTTAAAGCTACCTAACAAATTAAAACAACTCCTTGCAAAGTGGCCAGGCCTTCACAGAATTCAGTACCACGGAACTGAGAACACCAATTTGCTACTGAAAAGTAGTGGGATGGTTTACAGTAGTAAAGAGCCGAATATGGAATAGCCCTCATGTAAATGTTTATTTTAGAAGTTTTATTTGTAGGTTAGAAGTTTAGAAGCTTTATTTGTAGGTTAAACACTATCAAAAGGAATAGCCACAGAAGTTAGCCAGTATAAGAATTTGGGTAACTGGCTTCTGACAGGCTGTGACATCTGCAAAGGGAATACACATCTCTGCATTGCTCTGGCAATATACCTCCCAGTTATCCTCTCTTCATAGAAGATTTTGACTAACTTTTTTTCCAGTTTACGTTATGTCCTTTAGGGCCGCAGTTTGGACAAATACATAAAGCTTAAAACAAAACCGGGATAAAGGAGGCATTTAGTACCATATTAGCGATCTGTTCTGCATGAACACATCCTCCTTGGACAGAAAAAAAAAAAAGAACAAACATGAAGGACTGGACCGGGTAAGTGCTTCTTATTCGATGCTCCTTACACCGAGTGAATCTGGAATGGGGGAGACTCTGGAGATGATGACATTGGCCACTCTCACACCTGCAACTAGTCAATACGCTCAGATAGCTTAGGTGCTCTTGCTGCTGTCTTTTTAGAGGTTTGGGGGTTTTTGTTGTTGTTTATTTTTACCATTGAGCTCGGTTAACATGATTAAAACTCTGCTGAAGGCATGGCATCTCCAGTAAGCAAGGTTATGACCTGCTTTTCACCAGTGCTATAAACTACACCTGAAGAAGCAAGAGTGTTAGAAAGTGCCTAGACTGCCAAGAATATTAACCTCAACTGAAGCTCACTAGAGAATCGGATGAGAGTAACCAGACAGAAGAAAACCAACATCAGCAGAGCCCGTATCGTGTAGACGAGGGTCAAATCACGACAAAACAGACTGACTGACTGACGGGCAGCTCCGGTTTTGCCGCCAAACCGACAGGGCCACGTTCACGGCTGGCGGTTCACCGGAAAGCAACCGACGCAAACCGCGGCCGTTCCGCCGCCGGCCCACCTCTGCTCCCGGGCCTTCCGCTCCGCAGGCAGAACAGGACGCGAAGCCGGCCGACGCTCCCCCTTCCCACCGCCGGTGCTCTTAGCCCGGCCTGAGAGGGAAAACGCGCCCCCCTCGCCCCGCCCCAGCCACGGCCCCTTCCTCGGAGCCCCGCCAGCCCGGG